TACTCAATAAATTATTTTGCTTTCCTGCTTCAACCCGTTGTGATAATTGGCTGTGTGGAACAGGTGGTAAGAACCTTGTTCCTACAACAACAGTAGCAGCTAAAATGAACAGTTAAGAGGTTAAGTCTAGGATTATCAGCTTAAGTACAATAGAATTATAAGGCTATATTTCTGTCTCCTCAGGTCTATAAATGCCTACCTTGTTTTAAGACAGACATCAAAAGTAGAGTGCTCATTAATTTATACATATTACACTTCAAGCCTACACTAATGAAAATCCCCCTGAGCTACTTAACATCCCCTCAATCCAGTTCTAAAAGTAATCAGTAGGCTTAAACCAGTCCAGTTCATTATTTACTTCTAACTACTGGCCCCACAACTCCACACTCACTTGTCAGCTGCATGGCATATAGTGCCACAAGTGTCGGCCATGTCATCCACAAGGATAGCCACTCGATCCTTCACATCTCCTACAAGCACCATGCGGTCCACTTCATTGGCTTTCTTCCGTTCTTTGTGAATTAAGGCAAAGTCCACATTCAACCGGTCTGCAATGGAGGTCACTCTGCCAAACGGGGTGCTCAGAGTTAAAAGCTGTGTGTGTGTGTGTGTGGCTTCTATGATAAAAGAAACAAACTAAAGAATGGACTTGTTTTCTTGGGGAAAACACACCTTGAACCCAATCAATTCCCAGGGCTGGGAGAAAGTAACCACCATTGACTTTTCAAAGGCAAGCAACACAGAATGGATTTTATAGAAGAATGCCTCCATATCCTGATGTTGTTGTGTGCCGTTGAGTTGATTCCGACTCACATTAATCCTATAGGATAGAATAGAACTGCCTCATAGGGTTTCCTAGGCTGTGATCTTTATGGTAGCAGATCGCCAGGTCTTTTCTTCTGTGGACCCACTTGGTGAGTTCAAACTGTCGACCTTTTGGTTAGCAGCTTAACACTTAACCACTGAACCACCAGAGCTCCTTTATATCCTGATAGCGGGTGATAAATGTATTACTCAAACTCAGATAACAACTCATTCTGGGTTAAAGTCCTAGACAGAAAGATACCTTCATCAGTCTGGGGAAGCAGTGCAATGCTAAGGCATGTTTATTTAATGAATTGGCAGAGGAAAGGCAGAGAGAGAAGACTATTAACTAATGCCTGAAGTGCAGAGATAGTTCCAATTTACACAATAGAAGAGCCATGGAAGGTGACTGGTTAGTAAGTCAACCTGAGCCGGACAGGACAGTGGAAGTACCCTGCCTATCACAATGCGCACACCCTCATCACACTCCCCTCAGTGATGGCAGCAAAACATCTACCAACTATCAATGTGAACTGTACCTGGACACTAAGCTTGGAACTTCCTGCTAGGAAGAAAGTTATACCAGTTTACTGGGCAGACTAGGTGACCCACTGTACAGCCCAAATTATTTTCAATTCAAAACAGAATTTTTATTATTTTTCTTATTACAAGATGATAAAACCAGACTCGAAAATGGGATAGAAGACAAATCCTTCTGGTGACAAACTATCATTCAAGTCACCCAAACATATATTCACTTAGTCTAAATGAAATTGTGGTAGCTCCGATGCTCCAGTGTGCCACCCTTCTCTTATGTAAAAAGGCATGTACTTTGGGTTTTGTTTTAATGTGCTATAGATCAAAGTTTACAGAGTGAACTAGTTTCCCATTTGATAGTTTATACATAAAGTATTCCATGACACTGGTTTCATTCCCCAAACTGTGTCAGCATGCTCCCCAATTCTGTCCTGGGTTCCCCATTTCCTTTTGTCTGGATTTTCTACCTCTTCCTGCCTTCTCATCTTTGCTTTTGAGCAAATGTCCTTTTGATCTCATGTAACTGATTGTTCTAAGCCACATGTTCTACTTGGGTGTTAACTGTTTATTTCATGGGCTTGTGTACTGTTTGGCTGAAAGGTGGTCTCTGGGAATGGCTTCAGTTCCAGGTCTATGGCCATAGACTCCTGGGTCCCTCCAGTCTCTGCCAGATCAGTAAGTCTACATTATTTTGTGAATTTGATTTTTTTGTTCTGCATTTTTCTCCCACTCTATCCCAGAACCCCTGTTGTGATCCCAGTCAGAGTGGTTAATAGAGGTAGGCAGGCACCATCTAGTTCTTCTGGTCTCAGGGTTGCGTAGGCTGTGGTCCATTAGTCCTTTGGACTAACTGCTCCCTTGAGTCTTTGATTTTCTTCACTCTCCTTAACTCTGCATGGGAAGACACCAATAGCTGTATCTTAAATGGCCACTCAAAAGCTTTTAAGACTTCAGGCATTACTCACCAAAGGAGGATGTAAAACATTCTCTTTATGAACCATGCTGTGCCAATTCATGTTGTTGTCGTTGTTATATGCCACCGAGTCGGACCCGACTCATAGTGACCCCTCCTTGGGTTTCTGAGGCAGTATCACTACGGAAGTAGATTGCCCCATCTTCCTTCCAAGGAGTGGCTGA